TCAGTATGTTTTCAAATACAAATTCGTTGATCTGTGTGTATTTAAATACCATATAGAATATGGATATAGACAATCAATATTCAAGGGAGCATAGCCGACGCAGATTCTGTAATACAATTATGTTTTTGTATTTAGTTCCTATTTATTCCAATATATGCTTGAACAGTCGACGTCCTGTATACACAGTTTGCTTAAATAGTTAGGTCAAATAACTTGGTTTCGTTCATTTTCTGACCATTGCTCAATAGTTCTTTTTAATCCGAACACGAAATTCATGAAAGTAACCCGTGTCTTCACGGATAGTATTTAATCCACAGTTGCAGACTTATTTTTATCCACTTATTAAGTTTGTCCTCACTTTTCTGAAGCGGCCTAAAAGCCCAATGTAGTGGATCATTGTTCGGTAGGGTTAGGAAGAACTAGCACAGGTCGTTTATTTTAATTACTTAGTACGTATTAGGACATAACTTACTGAAACAACATTACACAACAAATGTTTGACATTGTGACCTCAAAATTAAAATTCCCTGGATTAATATCTTTTAATCTAGCCCTTCGGCTAATTATGTTTGCAGTATTGAGCAGAAGAAGGTCCTGAAGTTTCTGATAGGTTAGTATTACTGAAACTGTAACTATCAATTTCAACTGGAGGATATTTAAAGAACTATTTAATACTTTCTCAGAACGGATCCCAGAGTCCGTGGCATGTAAAATATACCATCCCATTCACCAAGCAGTTGTTACTATCCATTCTGTGAGTGTCTGTGTTAAACTTAATTTCATCATACTTGGCTGAGCTCGAGTGCTGATTTAAATATTTTATGTCCTTTCTCCATGTTGGTGTTCAGTCTACCAGCAGCTTCCGCTGTTTTCAACCCAAAAGTTGTATTGTGTATTCCACTGCCTTGGGGGATTCGTCAACACAACCCTGAAGTTGCGAAAGAAAGGTACAAGCGGAGAGTTTATTCCACTTAGGCACATGAAAAATATTTCAATACGTCTCGTCCTGCTCCCATAAAACAACTTATTAAGATTAAATAAGGTCTGCTTGCTTAGGCTTAATTGTCTTTTGCCGGTCTTCTGGGAAGGAGTTAAAAGGTGTACTATAATGCGTATAGGCCTCACGTGGAAGTCATTTCTCTCCTTATTGCTAGACAATCCACAGTTGTCCTGGGTCCTATCATTCTTACCAATCATAAGCAGGGCTGTGAGTTGGACACGGACAAGTCTATCGCAATTGACGCACAGCGTTGCAGCATGTTCACGAACAGCCGAGAACCGTCTGCTTTTTAGCACCTGTTGATGGATATTATTCCGTTCGTCCTGATTTTCTCAGCAAAATAATGAAACTGACCGTATTCCGACAAATTTGTTTCTTTTTCGATACATATCTGTCAACCTTTGAAAGTTGTCCCTGTTGTTGCCTGTAGTAGTCCCTCACACCTATCTAACATTCCCTTGACCCTTATAAAATGG